TAATGGTATGGTAATGGTATGATAATGGTATGATGTGGTATGATAATGGTATGATGTCGTATGGTAATGGTATGATAATTGTATGATAATGGTATGATAAGGTATGATAATTGTATGATAATGGTATGGTAATGGTATGATAATGGTATGATGTGGTATGATAATGGTATGATGTGGTATGATAATGGTATGATGTGGTATGGTAATGGTATGATAATGGTATGATGTGGTATGATAATGGTATGATAATGGTATGATGTGGTATGGTAATGGTATGATAATGGTATGATAATGGTATGATAATGGTATGGTAATGGTATGATGTGGTATGATAATGGTATGATGTGGTATGATAATGGTATGATGTGGTATGGTAATGGTATGATAATGGTATGATAATGGTATGATGTGGTATGATAATGGTATGATGTGGTATGATAATGGTATGATGTGGTATGATAATGGTATGATGTGGTATGGTAATGGTATGATAATGGTATGATAATGGTATGATGTGGTATGATAATGGTATGATGTGGTATGATAATGGTATGATGTGGTATGATAATGGTATGATGTGGTATGGTAATGGTATGATAATGGTATGATAATGGTATGATGTGGTATGATAATGGTATGATGTGGTATGATAATGGTATGATGTGGTATGATAATGGTATGATGTGGTAAGATAATGGTATGGTAATGGTATGATAATGGTATGATGTGGTATGACAATGGTATGATGTGGTATGATAATGGTATGATGTGGTAAGATAATGGTATGGTAATGGTATGATAATGGTATGATGTGGTATGGTAATGGTATGATAATGGTATGATGTGGTATGGTAATGGTATGATGTGGTAAGATAATGGTATGGTAATGGTATGATAATGGTATGATGTGGTATGGTAATGGTATGATGTGGTATGATGTGGTATGGTAAATGGTATGATATGGTATGATAATGGTATGATATGGCCCAGCCCTAATCCAGATGGACAATGATCCAAACAACTGAGGAGTTTATTAAAACAAAGCAGTGGAATATTCATGAATGACCAAGTTAGTGACCTGATCTCAACCCAGCAGAGTATTTCACTTGTTAAAGACTAAACAGAAAGGCCCACAAACAAACAGCAACTAAAACCTGCAGTGAAGCCTGGCAGAGCATTAAAGAGGAGGAAACACAGAGTCTGAGGATCTCCATCAAGACCTCAACAAATATATATCAGCTGTAGCAGCATCATATGAATTCTGGCATTTTATACATAGGGCTGCACCAATTAATCGATTAATCGACAACTAATCGATTATTAAAATAATCGATGACTAATTTAATAATCGATTAATCGTTTTCTCTTTTTTTGTTCTTTACTTTGTTTTTCTCTCCAAACGTCTTTGACACCTTCCACTGCCACATCTACCTTTCTGTCCTTGACACACATGCACAGTAGTGGTAACTGGGGTAGGCCGTGGACCTCACAAGTAGGGCTGCACCAATTAGTTGAAATAGTCGATGATGTCGATTATGTAAATTTATCGACGCAGATTTTTTATTATCGATTCGCTGTATTACATAACACCACATGAATGTTCATGTAATTCCATTTCGGTACCTAAAAGAATCACTGCGACCGTATTGGCATTAGAGTGGTGAGTTTTTCATGAAAATATTACAATTACAATTACAATTACAATAATATTACAATTACAGAAAATATTACAATATTAAAGAACTGTTCTTGTTAATTTGATGAAAACATTTTAAATTTCCAGCGCACTCACATCAGAATAACTTATAGATTTGTTGTTAGAATAATCGATTAATCGAAAAAATAATCGTTAGATTAATCGATTAGAAAATAATCGTTTGGTACAGCACTACACATAGTCCACCAGGAGGCGTCAACACAAAAGTCAGAGACTTCACATGAGATTTGGACCATCTTGTGGGGGAAAAGCAGATTACCTCCTACTCGTGAGCGCCCCCTCTGGTGGGGAAACTTTTTTCAGGGATACAAACTTTTTCAGAACACCGGTAGACGGCAGCCATTACAGACGAACATGTGTTTGTTGTTGTTGGAGGAGCAGCTCGGTCACACACTAATGTCATTAGTTTGTTATCATTACTGAGCTGCAGGACTGATTTTTACCCTTTTTTCACATCGTGTCTCCTGCCTGGATCTGTTATTATCTCACTCTGAAGCACAGAGGAGTGTCAGAGGTGAGCTCGCTTCAACTGATTTTTACGACACGGTCTCATTTCCGGACTCAATAATTTTCACGATATTTCAGTTAAAATACATAAGTAAAAATATTTATCTGAGTATAATACTACCCCCAACTTTATGGATGATTTTATGGATAAAATTTTACATATTATACTTGAATAAATATGGTAGTTTTGAGGCTCTGAAATGAAGGGATTGTGTTAAATGCTTTAGTTCCTCATATCTATGAATGATTCTGTTTCTGAATGATTCTGAACAAAGCTGAGGGTCTGAACTTTAACTGCATCTGAAATGATTTATTCAAAATTCATCAGGGTCATGTACAGAACCACGGTTAGGAAGAACTCGTCTCTGTCCAAATACATAAGGACCTGACTAACAGGAGGTGCTGTTACAGCCACAACTCACTGGATCAACTGCTTTAGCCCTCCACTCTGTCTGTTCTGTCCACACACACCTGGCCCTCCATCAACACAACATTAACCCTTTAGGGCACAGATAGCTTTACCTCCCAGAGCAGAAAAACTCATTCCTTCACACTGATTAGGGATGTTTTTCAGTACATAACTGATGTTTTTTCAAGAGTCAAGTTTCAGGCTGGAGCCTGTCTTGTTTGGGTGAAAACAGGGGACACCTGGACAGTCACATCCTGTCACAAAGAAGAGCTTCAAAAGTTTTTAAACTGAGCAGTGTGGACTCAAATACTTATTAAAATGATTTATCACATCTGCAAGTACAATTATTATTGATTATTATTGATTATTATTGCGAAGAGTCATTAACAAGAAGATTTAATCAGGCAGTCACATATACATATATGTAATTTGTTTACAATTAAATGTGGGTCAAATGTATGTTTGTATCAAACAAGTAGGCCTTTGTGTTACTCTGTACCCCTGAAGCAGCTCTCAGACACAAAAAGGTTGGTGACCACGCTATAGTTGATGCTTTAGTTCTGTCAATAATGACTTACAATAACACCTAATTACATTATGTCATACTTTCAGATTTCAAGTCAATATTTTAATGTTTTTAACAAAAACAGTGGGCCACCATCAGCCATTTTTCTGGGGTAAATATTAAGTGGTTAATCTCCACGACCAACATGTCTGCCACATACCTGGATGCATCCTGCCAGAACACTAGTGGTCATCTTTTTGTAGAGGCTAGCATACTTCTCACAGTCTGTGATGAGGTCTCTCAGTTCAGTGACTAACAGCAGGTTGGTGCTGTGTTTGTCCAGAGCTTTGACCAGCGCCTCCTTGGTGCCCAGTCGACACATGACCACTGTGTAGTCTTTGTTTAGAGACGCCAGCCGGTACAGGAAGCGAATGAACAGCTGCACCACCTGGGGATTCATCACAACAGGTTAGCATTTGTCAGAAGGGAACCTCTCTGACCCTGGTGGTCTGAGCACGGCTCACCTCTCTGTCGTTTATGAAGGCCATCATGGTGGACAGGCAGGGCTCGATGCTCTCGTGCCACGGCAGTATGTCCTCCTCGTAGTTGTCCAGGAATTTGTTCAGGATCCTGCAGAAACAACTGCCTGCTCAGTGGAGCTGTCCAGAAGTCACAGTGGAAAGAACAAGATAAGACTGTGGCACCTGAGGATGGACAGCTGGACTGCTCTGTCAGCTCGGTGCTGCTCCATTAGACGGACCAGGTCCTGGTAGGTGCCCCGACTGTGAGTGACCTGCACAAAGAGCCAACAGGTTTATCCTGATTTTCTGACCCGTGACCAGGCAGTGGGCTCCAGCTGCAGATGAGGAAATAAATGCAAACTTTATCGGCACAAAGACTTTTCTTGCCTTCATCAAAACAGTTGTGCTTCCTTAAACACCTATCTCTGGCTTTATGCATGTCAATGCTCACAAGTACCGGTGGTCATTTCTCCATTTTTACTCAACACACAACAGAGCCCATCCCTGCTGCTGGTAATACTGTATATCTGCAGTGAGACATCCAGCGACTGCAGAGAACTCTACTAGAAAACAGACCATTTTAACTATAACTTGAGACAGGAAGGGGCTAGCTGCACAAAAGTTCAACACCATACATTTGGAAAGATGATTAATAATTCACTGTGATGGACTTGTGAACTGTCCAGGGTGTACCCCGCCCCTCGCACTGTGACTGCTGGATATGGGCACCAGTGACCCACGCGACCCTGAAAAG